AACAATAGAAATGATCAATCAAATACACAAGGAAAAAATGTTCATCAAAGTCCCACCCGTCGAAAATCTATTACTCACGATACACATAAGGATGCAGCTGATCATACAAATACTCACGGAAAAACAGCAACACATGCTCATACAGATACACATGGAAAACCTACTGATCATAGTCCAACACGTCGCAGTTCCATCACGCATCAGACGCATAAAGATTCGCCTGAAAAAACCGTTCATCACAGTCCAACACGTCGCAAATCGATTACTCATGATACAAATAATTCAACAGCAACAACTCACGCTCATACAGACACACACGGAAAAACTACCAATCATAGTCCGACGCGTCGAAAATCTATTACATATGATGCACATGGAATACGTCGTAAATCGAATGCTAATGAACATGAAAAAGATCAATTGAATAAAAGTGAGAAAATAGGTGAGTCTATATCTTTTCTCTCATATCTTTAGAGATATGACAACGGATAAAATAGATGTTGAGAAAAGCATCATCTAGAAGAAATGATAAATTCCATAGAAGTATTCAAAAATGATTTCAATATTGTATAATTTATTTATTCTAGAGCAAAGTGGCTTAATTATTGCAAATACTGAAGCTCCTACTCAAACTACTACGGATAACAAACAAAATCAATGATAAAATTATTTGTCATTGTCAGATTCGAACACTGAATTTCTTTAAATATTTTGAAAATTTTCTTTTTTACTATTTGTGTTTGTGTTTATATTAGCCATAGAAATAATATATATCATGCATTTGCATAATCCAGCAAGGAAAAGAAACTAATATCAGATTCAGCTGAATATAATTAAAAAGGGTGGGATGTGAATCAAGAGAATGAGAGTTTACAATATATAGAAATAGACTATGAATGATCCTCGAGCCAAACTGTGCTACACTTTGTTATTCATTCTTAATATCAATCGTGATGTATTCATAGGATTTTATGCTTGTGGTCGTTATCATAGATCAGTTGTGAGCCTGTCTGATTGATCAAGCTAAAATCGAGGGTGAGGGTGAGAGATAGATCATATATATCAGCTTGTACGCGCGTGACGCGATGACGTTTTGGCACACCTCTTTCTACTTTTCTCCAGGATAATATCAACTAAACTACTTTCTTTTTTTCCAGAAATGTATATCTCTAATACCTTCATATCTCCTAAAAATTTCAGCTCACAGGAGTGAATCGTTTGGGAATAGATGCAAAAATGAACGGCGAAACGCGATGACGAAAAAGGACCAAAAAGTTGAGGGTGACGTGATTGTTCTTTATTTTTCTGCGAATGTGTACTAAATGGAAGGAAACGTTCTATGCACGTTTTGTAGCTAACAGTTTCAGGTATGCAATGAAGAGAAAATGTTCTTCGAACAAACTTATTTTTTTGAAAATAGATCGGTTGGATTAACGTAACGCGATGATGCCTTCGTAACGCGATGATGCTTGATTTTTCATGTAAATTTGTATTTACGCTTTCTTCTACTAGATATATAATTTTATAACGGTAATACGATATTTTTTCGATACTGACAAGAAAGAAATTTTCAACCATCTTGTTTATTGATAAACGAATAATAAAAGTCAAAAAAGAAATAATATAGGTAGTTCACTTAAAGATGTGTACACAATAGATATATGAGATAATTTCTGACTGTTTGAGCATAATACTATATAAACAAGAAGTAGTATACTATATGAATAAAAAAAATAAACAAAATACTTCATAGAAATAGAAATATTTTTCATCAGTTTACATAAAGATTAATTCAGTATGGTTCAACGAGAAGAAAATGTAGTTAAATTACAAGAAACAAAAATATTATATGAAATTTTTCGCTTTATATAGCAAATTGATAAATTTTTTTCGTCGAGCTGCTTGAATAATATTTATATTCAATTGATTTATCATTGATAGCTTTTACTGAATGAATTTTTTTCGTTTCTGGAACGCTTTTAATTGATAGAAATAGTTGTTCGACTTGGAGTTTCGATTCAGCAATATAATCTTGTGTCAGTTCGATCACGATAATTGTATCTGTCTTTGATCGAGCAATTTCTACAAAATCTTTTGCTGATGTACATCTTCGCCCACCCATAATTCCACGAAAAACAACGCGTTTCAATGATCCACCCACGGCATCCACAACTCCTTTGCCGTGGGACGTTGCAAAGTAATGCCAGTATAAATCCACCTAGATATAAGAAAAACATTGATTGTTGCTAAATATTAACTAAAGAACAACTACACTGTTTACCTTATACTTCTGTGACAAACGACAAAGATTTCTAAATAGAAACTTTTGTTTAAACTGTTGGCCTGCTCCATCTGAAAATATATGAATTTGTTGTAAATCACGAAATTGTTGGCTTAATCGTTTGAATAAATCATTAAGTGCGGCATTGACACAGTATTTATCATGACTTAAGTCACTAGAAACATAAACAAACGATTGTCCATTACCACCTGAATGCCAAACGTAACAAGTAAACAGTGAAACAGCATCTTGACCATAATAAGCATTTTGAACCGCATCTTGAGTTTCTAAACGGAAATTCTCACTAAAATCAACTTGTATACAAATAATTTCTTTATTCGATGAAACTTTCATTTGTTCAAAGAATGCAGCTTGTTGTCGTTTAATAAAAACATGGTTTAAGAAGACTTGAACCTTTTCTTTTAAAAGTTTTACACATTGATTGATTGTACCACTAAATTCATTTTTTACTGTTTTACCTTCTTCATAAACCCATTGAAACCACTTAATATGTTTCGCTGGATTAGTAATATATTTCATAACATTATTATCAAAGTTGTCAGAACATAACTGACAATGACTAAACATACATTTTTCATCTTGTTCATCACAAACTAACATTGATGTAAATTCTTGAAGAGAGTTTAAAGCAACACATAATGGAATATATTTTGATAATGATATTAATAACAAATTCACATTTTCGTGGTATTGGCATAAGCAGCTACGGTGAGGCATACGCGAATTTATCAACATATTCTTTGGACGTAATTCATTGAACGAAGTCAACGATAAGCTGATATTATTATTGGCATACTCACTTAAAAATAATTGATATGTTTCACGTACATTGTATAATAAAATTCGTTTTTGTAATGTAATCAACATACCATTTTCATCTTTAATAGTAATATAATCACGTTTTCCTGGTAATGTATAACTGATGTCATCTCGATTATAGAATTCAATAACCAAATCTTTCAGGTCAACAGACAATGAACGTTGTTGACGTACTTGTTTATCAGCAGGCTTTGAAATAATATTAAGATCACGTGCAATATGTTGCACTACTATTAAACGTTTATTATTATCTTTCGGTAATGCTTGAACAGCACGTTTAACAGCTTTTCCTAACGATTGACGACAATTATATGAAGATTGTTGAGCATTAGAACGTTCTAACTTTATTTTCTCACGATATTTTTTCGATGCTTGCTTTTGTCGAGTACGTATTTGTTCTAATAAATCACCTTTTAAATTTTGTCGTCTTGTATTATCTCGAATGCGAGATTTTCGTTTCATATCATCGAATTTTGACTTGTTTTTTGATAAATTCATACGATAAAGTTTTTGCCTTTCGGCATTTGATTTAGCCATATGACAAGTACGGAATAGATAATTTAATGAAAGGTTCTCTCAAAACAATGAATCAATATGATTTTGTAAAACAAAGGATTCGAGTTAAACTGAGAATAGAATCTGATTAGTGAAAACTAGAATAATGATTGGATAGGATTGGTGTTTGTCTTTCATCCGTGTATTGTCAATGTAGGCCAATCGATCCTCTTCTCCTGTTAATTTATCAATCATCATTTATAGAATATAATAGCGAATAAATCCTAAACCTAAGAACGTTAAAAAACTACTCAGAAATTTTTTTTCTAAAGTAAATAAAATATGAAAACTTGAAAAACCGTCATCGCGTTACGAAATATTATTCGAATAAAGAATCGTTTTCAAATAAAAATATCAGCATTGAATAGCCCGCAAAAAATAAGCTTTAGACATTTAGTTTTTAAATAAAAAATACTAACACCGAAAAGCCAGAAGAAACAATAGATCACTTTTCGTAACGCGATGACGCCATAAATATCGAAGTTTTGTAGAACGCCATGGAGACGGACAACAAAACATACGAAACTAATTGTTTCATATAAAGACACTTCTATCAAGGGAGAGTTGCTTGATAATGATCAACTTTTCATATATGATGCTGTTTCGATATACGGACGTAACTAGCCGATAGACTATATATGTGGTTTTGTCACCATTTGTTAGCGACATCTTTGTCGATTGTTACCGTTCACAATTTTCTGCGATAACTTATATTAAAAAATCAATTTCTATATGTTTTCGACTATTCTCTACAAGATGGTAACAACGGTTTGTCAAAATATTGATTTCGAACTCTCGTCACTGAAGTTACACGTTACGCGTACAAGCTGATATGCTCTCTCACCTTCACCCTCTTTGAAATTTTGTAGTTCAATCAGATTACTGTCGTCTTCGGCGGGTAAACCGCGCTTACATTCGTTGTCAAGATTTGTCTTTGGAAGAAAGGTGGAAGATATTGTTTTCGCATAGAATCGACGTTTTGTTTTCTAAAGCAAAGTCAATGTTAGTTTGGATTGAGAAAAATTTTGTGTTATATGAGTGCATGTTGGAGAATACCAAAAATGCCGTAAACGAATATATGCAGGGAAATCCAATACCCAACAAATTGTAATGCGTTTAGGAAAAAGCCATTACGTCACGTTGGAAAAACCAGTATGTGACGCATGAATATTACCGAAGCTAAAGTATGTCCTCGAACTCTCTACATGAACAAAAGCCTACTCAAAAATTCTCTGAAGACCTTCATCTTCAATTCTCTAAAAACCCCATGAATGTGTCTATCGAAGTCCCTATAATTTCTAACCTATCTGATATTCTCACAATTGTGTTTTGAGAGAAACTTACGAAAAACTCGAAAAAACCAATCATTTTCGTAAGGTGCTCAGTAAAACCGACTTTTCTCATCAAAAATAGAAAACTTAAAAAACTGTACGTATACTTTTGAAGAGATGCATTTTAACGAGTCGACTGATGTAGAAATATTGGTTCCAACATCTCAAGAAAAAATCACGAAGCATTTGTAGAAATTGGTCTACAAAAATCAGTCCATTTGACTTTCCAAAGCGTTAGCCAGTAGTCATTTAAAGATGTTTTTTTTTGTGGTCTATGATCCACTAGATCCTTTGAGAATAGAAAAACATTAGGTTTTATATATGGAGTATGAAAAGTTTTATTTAATGCAGTTTTTAGCAAGTTTTCCAATGGTCCTTAGGAGAAACATGCGGTCTTTAAGGGTTAAGTTTAGAGTATGTGGGACGGCTATAATACACACAGTTATACCCATACCCGCATCAACTTGATCAATGTATGATTACTTAGAAAAACTTCATAAAATAGTTTTTATTAATATTTAGATAAAATCTATCGAGATAAAATAGTGTTTATGTAGTGTGACATTTTAATTATCTTTTTTTCCATATTTTTATTAATTCAGAAGAATGATTGACATGATGATAAGATCAGAAAAATATTTGCAAGTGGCTTGCTGATTTTTCTGAGTATCACTAGTTTTTATTTGGTGTTCGTCTATCGAGATATTCAACTATGTCGCCTACTACCCAAGAAAAAAATGTAACTACAGATCCTGCCGTTATGGTTATGGTCAAAGAAGAAAAATCAATTGTTAGTGCGAAAGCCACATTATGTTGTGGTCTGTCCGTTAATACTTGGGCAAAGATTGCCATTAATCTAATTCTACCACTAACACTTGGTATTTTTACAGTATTCATTGCTTTCTATCAGCAAGAAGTGACCAATAAGCAACGTCTAGAAGATCGTGATATAGCACGTATTCAACGAGACCAAGATTTAAACATTTCTGCAATGCAACGTGAACATGACAAAGTAGTTGCACGATCCCAGCGTGAAGAAGATGAGCTAAGACGTTATCAAGATTTAAATATTTCGGAAATGAGACGAGAGCTTGATATTTTCCTTGCTAATTCCAAACAAAATGCTGACAATCTGAATGCCGAGAAACAGCGCAATATCTCACAAGACCAACGGGAACACGAGCTTCAAATAGAACAACAACGGTATGAAAAACAAATGGCAATCGAACATGAACGACATGAGCAAGAGCGAGCTAGATATCAAGCACAGCTAGCTCTGTCTTATATGAATGAAATCGGTGATCTTATAGAGAAACATCAAGGATCTCTCAGCTCACATCCAATATCGGCAGCACTTGCACGTGCTAAAACACTGAACGTTATTGGACAGCTTGGTTCTAATCGATCAAGACCTCTTATTGAATTTCTTCATGATGCCAAACAGCTAACAACTAAAAATAATCCATTAGATCTCTCTGGTGCACAACTCAATGGGCTAGATTTCAGTGGTCCATCAGGTCTACATATACGACGAGATCTATCGCTCGTTGGAGTTCATCTGAATGGAGCAGTATTCCAAGATTTAGAAATATACCATTGGGATTTTACTTCTGCATTATTGAATGGGGCTACCTTTCGAAATTGCAATATTACAAAGACAATATTTGATCGTGCTTCTTTGATCGGTGCTGATTTTTCTTTTAGTTATCTGGATATGAATACATTTTCTCGTGCAGATCTTTCAATGAGCAAGTTTCATGCAGCCATTGTCAGATCAAGTCATTTTGATGATGCTATTCTTATCGAGGCTAATTTCTCCAATGTTATATCTGATGCAACGAATCTTGACAGACATTTACGTTTCACTTATTCAAATCTTGTTTCAACAACGTTTCGTAATGCTCAACTAAGCAAAGTACATTTTCGTCTGTGTAATATGACGAGCACGGATCTTAGTCAAACGGCCCTTGTACAAACGCTTTTTTTTGGAAGCATACTAGCTTTTGCTTCAATTACTAACAGCAAACATCCTCTCAGATTAAGTGCTTTTCAGTATGCTAACTTTTCACACGCTGATCTAACAGGTAATTTACAGACAATAAATCAATATACAAAGATTTATTCTATTGGGAGGCTAGAACAAAAGGGTTTCAAATCAAGTTATCTTATGTTCTCTTGCAAAAGTATTGTCTTCGTTCTAAGCGACATATATATGTATAAGTTAATTTTTAAATTCAATTATCGAATTGTTAGACTATGAAAAGTAGAATTTCCAGTATTATAACGACCATTTTAATAACATCACCATCAGTGTAAAAAAAATTTATGAGTATGACATTCGGTATATACTGATTTGAGGAATTTGGCTTAAAAAAGAATAACAAGTATTCTCTGAGGAATATTAAATATATTCATATTTCCTACGATTTTTTTTATTTAGGAAGCACATGTGTGGAAAGCAAATGTGAAGGTGATATGGTTCTATCTTTTCACAATGCACGTTTTGATGATGTAAATATAGGCAGACCTCGGGCCACGATTATCGAGGCAGGCAATGCCTCTACGTACGAAGACGGTGATAGTATCTATTGTGTAAGTCCAGTTTTCTAACAAAACTCTTATTTTCATTTTTCTTCCATAAAACTAGAAAAATTCATTCATATAGGTTTTTCTTACAAAATAGTTGATAGTTCTAATCTCCGCCAAAAAGAAGTCATTCAATCTTTTGAAGGAATACATAGCAGTCTTACAATATTTGTTTTGAAGATAAAATTTTTAAACATATTATAGAGCAGTTGTTTAACATATTTTGCTTATTGATTTTAAATGCAACGTTCAATACATATACCTGATCTAATTTTTTAGACACAAGAACTATTAAAGAATTGGGAAAAACAACCTGTCAATGGATTTATTATACGACGCGAGCGGACCATCCAGAATCACTGTGTCTATTCAATGGCGAAAAATGAAACGGGAACATTGTCTCAAAAAGTTCTTTTAAGTAAGTTATTTTCGCATCATGTTTCTTGCAGAAATGTAGCATAGAGAAATCTCCAGTAAGCTGAGGGTTATTATAGGTGGCGGTCTCATCTTTATTTCCATCCGCATTCTTAATTCATAAGATTTGTGCTGACAGAGAACCTTCCTATGTAAGTAGTTATTGCGTTCATTTCTTTTAGAAATCGATTCAGTTCTAGATGATTTTTCCAATATTCACAGACATTTCTTTCTTATTTTTAAAACAAATATTATTTGATATTTTTTTTCAGGTGAACCATACAAACCAAGTTTCATCTCGCTAATCAAAGAACGACAAGCGGTAGCCATTTTTCGTGCGATGCTTAGTGACGGTGTGCGAATAGTTATCGAAGAGAGAGTCAATACACAACGGATATTATTCAATCATACTTTGTCTCGTGATAGGGCTGAGAACAACTCACCACTTGTAACATTAGGTCCAATCATATTACATCCAGACGCGAAGGAACTCATTTTTACCATTTATTTCTCCCGAACAGGATCTGTCCAATGGTTAAATTTGATTGACATAGAAATCAATCCACTTTTTTCCCACTGACTGCTTATCATGTAACTCTATTGCTCTTGCGTTCTATGTGATTTTCAAAATGCTTTTCGTGTATTCTATAATATTGCTTTTGTTATACGATTTGTTTCGTGCTACCTAGAACGACTTGCTAAATATAACAGTACGAATTTCTGAATTTCATTTTTTCCGAAAGAACAACCACGCTAAAATTTTAAAGCAGAACAAGTGAATTTCTATACTACTGGTATTTGTTTACATTTAGAAAGTATCGAAATGCTGTTCTTATTCTGAATATTAGACTATATATTAATATAATGCATTGGTTAGTATATTTGAAGTGATTATATTAAAGCACATCGATATAAGCACGTGATTTTAATATCTATGTAAATTACTATGTCAATCAAATGAAACATGACTGATTCTGTCAGATTGTCAATCATGTTACGAGACAAGTAATAATATTCTTATCTTCTTAGATTATTTGTCAATTTATTTTGTCTATCAAACGTCGCGAGTTGATATTTTGATTAATATCTACAACGATGAAGATTTTTTATTAAGAACAGATGTTCACTTATGCAAGGAAGCATGCAGTGGTGTGCATCACACAATATGATTTGTAGACAAACTTACCAAAGTTTTCAATATGTTTTATCTATAAGTATCTTCTTTTTTTGCATTCAAATATCGTCAAGTTCTAACATTCCCTGCAAAACAAGTGTCGATGCAATTGAATTATGGGAACCTCATACTTTTAATCCCAACAATGTAGAAGTCGAACCTAACGATTTCGTAACAGAACATAGTGAACTGTGTGCGTTATCAATTCGCATCGATTATCAATCGAAACTCGTTCGTATTGCTTTAGCCACAAAAAGCTGGGATGAAGATGGAGACGAAAAAGTTTTTTTAAAATGGTACATCGATCTGAAGAGTAAAACAATCATCAAAGAATATACTTTCACATGTGTTATACGATACTGTAATAGTGACTATTTGAGATTAATTCTAATTACCGGCGAGCTCGACTGGTTATTAAACTATAAAGATTATTCACCTGTCATGTTACAATTACGGTCATTGCTTTATCGAGAGGAACATATTCAAAGTGCTAATCTCCGATGCAGAGAAGGCGCTAAGAAGTTAGTACTATGTAAGGATGACGCGTGTGTCGCGGAATATTTTAGTCATAATGAACTGTATATAAGATATTGTGAAAATCGATTACATGTACCCACCGAGCGCCATACCATAAGTGTTGACATGTGGGTGTTTTCAGATTTATATGAGGACAAACGGTTCTCTGTACAATATACGTGTAACGTTGACCAGTGTAATGGCGAGGACGCAGTCGAGGAAGTTCTAAGCGTGCTTAATCTGACAAGCGACACATTAAATTTATTTTGGCCACCAGAGGACAGTATTACATTTAGCACAACAACTCAACCAACTACTACTACTACTACTACTACTACTACTACTACAAAACTACATATTTCTACTTCAGTCGATAAACAGATTACATTATCTACAGAGAAGTTTACAAATCAGATCTTTTTAAGTACGGACATTATCAAAATAGAGAATTTGTCTTTGGCAAGTACATATGCTGTACAGATTGAATCAAAGACTTCAATGAGGACGAGTATTTTAAACACTTCAAACAGTAGTCCAGAAAGAGAATCATCAATAACCAATGCAGATGCCAATTTTATTTCAGCAATATTTACGTCAACGTCGACAACAGC